CACATACACACAAAGATGTTGTGTCCGCCCAAAATTAAAAAATAAAAAATAAAAAAAAAAAGAACTTTCATCAAAGATAAGGGCTGGGGATGTGGCTCCTGGACGTTCAATCCTCAGCACCACAAAAACAAAGAAATAACACTAGGAATCATCTACGAAATGCAAATCCAAATCACAGTGAGGGACTTGGGGTATAGTGCAGTGGTAGAGCATTTGCCTACTACGTGAAGCCCTGTATTCAATCTCCATCATGAAAAAATAAGCAAGCAAACAAGCAAACAAACAAACAAAAAAAAAACTACAGTAAGCTATCACCTCACTCCAGTAAAAATGGCTATTGTCAGCAGGTGCAATTAAGATCCCTGTAATCTTAGCAACTAATGGAGGCTGAAGGCAAGAAGACTGCAAGTTTGAAATCAGCCCTGGTAACTTGGACCCTGTCTTAAAATAAAAAAATTAAAAATGGCTGGGGATGCAGCTCAAAGGTAGAACTAGAAGGTCCAGGTTCAATTCCCAGTTCCAAAAAAAGAGAACATTTTCTTTTTTTAAAAAAATATTTATTTTTTTAGTTTTAGGTGGATATAATATCTTTTTTAAAAAATATTTTTATTTTATTTATTTATTTTTATGTGGTGCTGAGGATCGAACCTAGGGCCTTGCGCATGCTAGACGAGCACTCTACCACTGAGCCACAACTCCAGCCCTAGGTGGACACAATATCTTTATTTTTTATTTTTATGTGGTGTTGAGGATCGAACCCAGCGCCCCGCGCATGCCAGGCGAGTGCGCTATCACTTGAGCCACATCCCCAGCCCAAAAGAACATCTTCAAAAACACAAAAGATAACAAATGCTAGCAAGGGGGTAGAGAAAAAGGAACACTTTTTGCACTCTGTTGGTGAAAATGTAAACTGGTACAGCAATTATGGAAATCAGTATGGAGTTTCCTCAAAAAAATTAAAAACAGGGGCTGGGGATGTGGCTCAAGCGGTAGCCTGCTTGCCTGGCACGTGCGGGGCATGGGTTCAATCTTCAGCACCACATAAAGATAAAGATGTTGTGTCTGCCAAAAATTAAAAAATAAATATTAAAAAAATTCTCTCTCTCTCTCTCTTAAAAAAAATTAAAAACATAACTACAATATGATCTAGCAATCCCACTATTAGGTACATATCTGAAGGAAATAAATCATATGTTGAAGAGACAACTGTACTCCCATATTTACTACAGTATAATTCACAACAGTCATGAAATGAAAACAACCTAAGTGTCTTATCAACTGATAAATGGTTATAGAAAATGTGGTACACAATGGAATATTACTAATCCATTAAAAAGAACAAAATCCTATCATTTCATATAATAATAACATGGGTGAAACTGGGCATCATTATATTAAGTGAAACACTAGGCACAGAAAGATTGTATATGTGGAATCTAAAAAAAGATGATCGCTTAGTAGTTGAAAGTAGAACAGTGGTTACCAGAGGCTGGGAAGAGAAGAGAAAAAGGAAGGGAAGGAGAAAGATTGATCAATGAGTAATAAGTTGTAGTTAGATAAGAGTAAGAAGTTCTGGTGTGCTATTGTAGAGTGACCACAGGCAACAATTACATGTTTCAAAAAGCAAGAAAGGCCAGGCATGATGGCACACATGTATAATCCCAGCAACTCAGGAAGCTAAGAAAAAAAGGATCACAAGTCGAAACCCACTTCAGCAAATTAGCAAGGCCCTAAGCATGCTAATGACTATTTAAAAATAAAAAGGGCTGGGGATGTGGCTCAGTGGTTAAGCACCACTGGATTCAATCCCTAGTACAAAAGAAAAAAAAAAAAAAACAAGCAAGATGGAAAGATTTTGTATGTTTTCACCATTAAGAAATGATAAAAGTTTGAGGAAAGAGGTTTAACCTGACTTAAATATTATACAGTGTATACATGCCATCAAAACATTATGATACCCGATTAATATGTACAACTTTTAATATGTACAACTTTTGTTTTTAGCCAGGCTTGCTGGTGTGCACCTGTAGTCCCAGCTATTCAGGAGGCTAAGGCATGAGGATCACTTGAGCCCAGGAGTTAAAAGACCAGCCTAGGCAATGTATTGAGACCCCATCTCAGGTGGTCTCAATATCCAAAGTGAGTGAAAGGAAAAATATCCCATGGAAATAGTAACCAAAGATTTAAACAGATCAATTTCAAGCAATGAAACTGAAGACACCATCAAAAGCCTACCAAAAAGGAAAAGCCCAGGACTCTCAGCTGAGTTCCACCAGACCTTCAATGAAGAACTAACACCAGTCCTTCTCAAATTATTTCATGAAATAGAAAAGAAAAGAAGGAAACCCAAACTCAGCCTATGAAGCTAGTATAATCCTGATACCAAAACCAGACAAAGACACATTAAAAGAAAGAAAACTTCAGACCAATATGCCTGATGAAGATAGATACAAAGATTCTTAATAAAATACTGGCAAATCACATATAATAACATATTAAAAAGACAATGCACTATGATCAAGTGGGGTTCATCCCAGGGACACAAGGTTGGTTCAACTTATGGAAATCAATAAATGTAATTTACCACATCATTACATTTAAAGACAAGAATCACATGATTATCTCAATAGATGCAGAAAAAGCATTTGACAAAAGACAGTGTCCATTCATGTTCAAAACACTAGAAGAACTAGGGATAATAGAAACATACCTCAACATTGTAAAAGCTATATACATTAAACCCAAGGCCAACATCACTCTAAAAGGATTGAAAGCAGTCCTTCTAAAAACTGGAACAAGACAGGGATGCCCTCTTTTCCCATTTCTATTCAACATAGTCCTTGAAACTCTAGCCAGAGCAATTAGGCCCAAGAAAGAAATTAAAGGAATACAAATAGGAATAGAAGAGCTCAAACTATCCCTATTTGCCAAAGACATGATCCTATATTTAGAAGACCCAAAAATTCCTTCAGAAAACTTCTAGAACTCATAAATGAATTCAGCAAAGTAGCATAATATAAAATGAACACCCATAAATCAATTGTGTTCTTATACACCAATGATGAATCAGCTGAAAGAGAAATTTGGAAAACTATCCCATTCACAATAAGCTCAAAAAATAAAGAAAATATCTGGTGATCAATCTAACAAAAGAGGTGAAAACTATATTGAAAACTACAGAACATTAAAGAAAGAAATTGAAGAAGATCTTAGAAGATGAAAGATCTTCCATGTTCTCAGATAGACAGAACTAATATTATCATAATGGATATACTACCAAAAGCACTATACAGATTTAATGCAATTCCTATTAAGGTTCTGATAATGTTCTTCACAGAAATAGAAAAAAAGCAGTCATGAAATTCATTTAGAAAAAATAAGAGGCCCAGAATAGCCAAAGCAATCCTTTGCAAGGAAAGTAAAGCGGGAAGCTTCATAATACCAGGCATTAAATTATACTACAGAGCTACAATAACAAAAACAGCATAGCATTAGCACCAAAACAGACATGAAGACCAATGGAACAGAATAGAAGACAGAGACAAACCCATATAAATATGTGGATGCCAACACATAAGAAGAAGATGGGGAACAGAAGTTCAGTGGATTAGACAAGAGGAATAAAGGGAAAGGAAGGGGAATAGGAATAGGAAAGAGTGGAATGAATTGAACATAACTTTCCTACATGATGTGAAACTCCACATCATGTACAAGCACAAGAATGGGATCCTAATTAGAGTAAGTTATACTTCATGTATATATAATATGTCAAAATACACTCTACTGGGGGTCTGAGGCTGTAGCTCAGTGGTAGAGCACTTGTCTAGTATGTGTGAGGCACTGGGTTCTATCCTTAGCACCACATAAAAATAAATAAAATAAAAGCATTCTGCCCATCTACAACTACAAAAAAAAAAAAAAACTTAAAAAAATGAAGGGGTAGGGCTGGGATTGTGGCTCAGCGGTTGAGCGCTCGCCTAGCATGGGAGGGACCCGGGTTCGATCCTCAGCACCACATTAAAAAAAAAAAAATAAAGGCATTGTGTTAAAGAAAAAAAAAAGAAGGAGTAATAAAAAATTTATCACAGTAAATAAACCCCTTAGCTCTAACATAAAGAGCACTCTATTCAACAACATCAATATATATATATATATATATATATATATGCTTCTCACATGCATGTGCAACATTTTCCCATGTAGCCCAGATATTAGAACACAAATTAAGTCTTAATAGATTTAAAAAGACATCCATCATACAAAATTATCTTTTCTAACCACAACAGGATGAAGTGAAATCAATAAGAGGTAAAACTGAAAACTTTCCTAACTGTGTAAATTAAACTCATGCTCAAACAACCAATGGATCAAAGAAGAAATCACAAGGGAAATTACAAAATACTTAAGGCAAATGAAAATGAAGACATAACATGACTACTGGCTGTCAAGAGCATCAAGAGGTATGGGTAAGTGTTGACAAATAATTATAGTTTTGAGTTTTACAAGATGAAAAAGTTCTGGAAATTGGTTGCACAGCATGACCATTCTTAATGCTACTGAACTGTATACTTAAAAATGGTCAAAATGGCAAATTTTATATTATATGTCTTTTTACTACAATACAATTAAAAGGACTCTAATGGTGAGAATAAGTCTTTTGAAAATAATAGTAATAGACTGCATAAATTCACTTAAGATAGAAAAAACAATTTTAAGTTATGCATTTTTTAGTAACTAAATAAAACCAAAAACAAAACAGGAAATAATACAAATCAAGTAGGTTTTATATTAATAAACATTCTGAAAAATACCATATAAAAATCTCAGGGGTTGGAGGATGTAGCTTAGGGGTAGAATGCCTACTTGGCATGTGTGAGGCCCTATGTTTGATTCACAGTATCAAAAAGTAAAATTTCCAACTGAAACTGAAATACTGGAAACAAAATATGCTCTGAGCAATAAACTTATCATTCATCTATGTATTTATTTCTTTTGTTTACCTGAGAAAGAGAATTGTACCAAGACAGAGGAAGATCAAACACTCTTAATGCTGCTGTCTTCAAGGAAAACTGTGATTCCCTTACTGTTTCTTCTGACATGACTCCTCTTGTAATCTACATTAATTGAAACATTAAGAACTTATTAGTCACAAAGATTTCTGGTTACTTTACCAATGAAAGATACAAATTAAAACTACCAGCCTTTTCTAAGGGAGTTAATTATTTATCATTTACAATTGAGCTGAAATTATATTTATTATATTTATTAATCACCAAGGCATCAAAATAGAAAATAAGCTAGATTTGCACTTAATCTTAGCCAAAAGGCCCAGAAGTGATGAAAATGATCTATAGCAGGGCATAGTGGAACACATCTGTAATCCCAACAGCTTGGGAGGCTGAGGCAAGAAGATCACAAATTCAAGACCAGCCTTAGCAATTTAGAGAGATCACCAGCAAGTTAATGAGAATCTATTGCAAAATGTAAAATAAAAGGACTAGGGGGGCTGTGGTTGTAGATCAGTGGTAGCACACTTGCCTAGCATGTGTGAGGCACTGGGTTCAATCTTCAGCACCACATAAAATAAATAAAATAAAGGTACTGTGTTCATCTACAACTAAAAAAAAAATAATAACATAAATAAATAAACAAATAAATGGACTGGGGATATAGCTTACTGGTAAAGTGTCCCTGAGTTAAATCCTCAGAAAGAAAATTATCTAGATTTAAACTTTGAATTCAGGTAGTAAATTTTCCTTAGAAAATTACAAGCTCTAGATTCTCTCATCTCTGAGTAAATAAATTTATCAGCACTTAGCTGGTACAGTCACACATACCTATAATCCCAGTTACTTGAGAGGCTGAGGCACAAGGATGAGTAATTCAAGGACAGCCTAGACAACTTAGTGAGATCTTGTTTCAAAGGGACAGGGATGTAATTCAGTGGTATGGTGCTTGTCTAATATGTGTAAGACCCTGGGTTCAATCACCAGTACTCCAAAAAAAAAAAAAAAAAAAAAAAAAAAAAAAACAGACAAAAAACTACTTTAGATAATAATTTAAAATCTACTTCTTCCTATTGATTTCCTTCACATAACACTTGAAGTAGGGAGTTGCTGAATGGAATCTGAAACAGACTTCTGCAGCTAGAAAAAAATCTCAGAGCTGGGCTAGGTGATGGCATACCTGTAATCCAAGCGGCTGGCCAGCCTCAGCAAAAAGCAAAGCGCTAAGCAACTTTCAGTGACACTCAGTCTCTAAATAAATACAAAACAGGGCTGTGGATGTGGCTCCATGATTCAGTTCAATCACTGGTACCAACAACAACAACAAAAAACTCAGAATTCACTAACTAAACCTCAGAACTCCTGCATTTATTCCTCTACTGATTCATTTAAAATTTTTTTCAAAGAAATACCAAATACGTGTTATGTTTTTTTGATACTGTTTTAATGTGTGCTCTTTCTCTTGAAGGGAAAATCAGATATCTACTTTTTTTTTTTTTTTTCCTCCAAGAGATGGGTTTCTCTAGGTTGCCCAGGTTGACCTATAACTTCTGGACTCAAGTGTGTAGCCTCTCCAGTAGCTGGAACTCCAGGCAGGAACCATGTACCCAGTCACAAAAAGTCAGATTTTTATTTTTTATTTATTTTTTTAAATAGTTTTAGTTGTATATGGATATAGTAACTTTATTTTTTTATGTGGTGCTGAGGATCGAATCCAGTACCTCACATGTGCTAAGCAAGTGCTCTATCTCTGACTCACAAACCCAGCCCCCCAAAAGTCAGATTTTTAAAGAGGAGGCAGATGTCACTCAGAGAGGTCCTTAAGGTAGTAGGCCCCTCATAAGAACATGAGGGCTCAGGGTCTGGATCTCTGCTTCATAGACCTAGAAACTCAATTTTATTGGTGTATACAGTTGAACATCCACTAAAGGTCACATGCATTCATTTATAATTGAGAAATACTCATCTAGTGATCAAAATATTTATACATGCTACAAAACATACTCTATAAAGAAGATTGTAGAAAGCTAAATTAATCAGTCAAAAAAGGTTGCCTAGTGAGCATAAGATCAAAGGGTCCTGAGGAACATTTCATTCAAAAAAAGAAAAAACATGAGAACCATCTCTAGTAAACAAGACAGTAATCTTTTCTGGTGACCAGGATATTTATACCAGCCAAATTTAGTATTTCTTTTCTTTGGACAGTGCTGTATATTTTCAAGGAGAAAATAAAAATTACCAATGATCCCCATATAGAAGTTTTTTTTTTTTTGCTTTATTTTCCTTGAAGTCTTTTATTTCCGCATATATCTCTGTGCTTTTTCTAAACTCCAGCAGATCATCCCCTTGTACTAACTCTCTTTTCAGAAGTGTCAAAACCACTGATTAAGTAGTGGTTTCCTTTCAAATCACAGTAACACTTCTCAGGGTAGGATACTCCTACTGATACATACCTTAATCCTTACTAGTCACACTGCAATGTACCCTTGATTCCCCCTACCCATGTTTTAATTACTTTAAGACTCAGTATAATTAGTTTTATTGAAGTATATTATTCCAGCCAACAAACTGTAATATTACACAATAATTTGAGAAATACAGAGGAAATCATGAACCAACAGTTAAGCCAGTGAAAAATATTTCTGTGGAAAATAAGGTCAGGAATGTAGGAGGGTTGGGAAGGAACCATGGCTGTTCTTTTTCTATAATAACTTATATTGTGCTAAATGATGCTCTGAAGGCACATCCAAAACCCACTAAAATATTACTGTAAAAGGGAGGGAAAGCACATTTATTTTTGTCCCTCCCCTAAAAATTGACTCTTTTTTTTTTTTTTTTTGGTACTGGGGATTGGACTCAGGGGTACTTTACACCCCCATCTCTTTTTTTTTTTTTTTTTTTTAAATTTTGAGACAGGATCTCAAGCTGAACTTGCCTCCAATTTGCTATTCTCTGTTTCAGCCTCCAGAATTATTGGGAGATTTGTTGTTGTTGTTGTTGTTGAGCATTTTTACTATTTAAATAGATTATGGATCTATGTTACTGAACTGCAAAAAAAAAAAAAAGAGTAGTTCAAAATTTTCCACAATAAAGCATTTCAAAATTTTAAGCAGATAAGAAATAAAATAACACTTCAACCTGCTGCAGAATAAGTCTCTTGAAGAATTCTGACAAATCTTTATTTTTGCATTCTAGATACTTTATTTCCCTTCGTTGAAAATCTCTGCAGAAGTGGACTCTTAAGTTTAATGATTATTAACTAACTTAAAAAAAAAAACTATAAACATTTTAGTTGCTTTCAGAAGTATAGTTAAAATAAACATGAAAGCAGTTTCATGATTATTCAAATTTGTAAGAGGAGTCTAAAATATTACCAAAAATCAATGTACAGTCTGATTTTACACATCCTAAAATTCTACTTTGACTTTACAAAGCAAGGAAGTCTTAAATATCATGAAAATCCGACGTGAAACATAAATCTATACAACTGAACTCTTAGAAGATACTTTAAAGGCAGCGAAAAATGCTTAGTTACAACGATAATAAAATGGCAATGACAGTAATAATGGTCTGTAAGTCTGAGCAAGAACAAGATCTCTTGAAGTCCTCCTTCCAAAAACACCAGAATTTCAATTACAAGAAGGCACCCGATGACACAACCCTCAGTGTTAAATGATTCTCTGAAACCACCTTCAAAGCAACAATCTTCCACATCCTGAACCCACTGCCTGCTCACAAGCATCCAAGCGGAACCTCGGAGCCAGCTACCCCACCTCCAGCGTTCGGTCCGGAGCCCCCACGGCGTTCTCTGCTGCTCTTTTTCTTTAACAAGAGGATCTGAAAGGGGCTCCCTCCCGGGTGGGCTGCCCACACTGCCCACACTGCCCACACCTGCTGCGGGCCACTCTGACTCGGCGCTCTCCTTGCGGATCTTGATCAGGCGAAGGGGCCTCCTGCTCTGGGTTTCTGCACCCCACACCTAGTCCAGACTGCAAAAGCGGGTGCTGCAGTACGGACCCCGCCCCGCCCTGCCTCGCACCGCCCCGCGACGCCTACGGTGGCGCGATCCTTCTCTGCGGCCTCGCCCTCCACCCTTGTACCTGGCGCCTCAGGCCAGGTGCAGCCTGCCCACGCCCGCTTCGCGGCTGCAGCCTGGCTGTGAGATGTAGCGGCCTGACTGCCGAAGGCGGATTCCTTCCGGGGTCACGAGTGGGAAAGTGAAGGAAAAGTGGAGGGGGCCTTCTAGCCTTTCTACGTGAAGGGGTACGTATGAAGCGGCTCCCGCCATTTTTGTTTCGGGTAGAGGCTTTCAGGCTTTCCAGGGGGATGTGAAATCTAGAATTGCATCTTTTTACAAGCATGTCTAAAACTAGAATTGTAGTTGGTAACCTTTTAGGGGATCTAGGAATGTTCTGAATATCTGGTGAAAACTATGGAGACTTTCCCTAGAAAAATGCAAAGATTTACTTATATATTATTAAAACAAAAAACTAGCTGGGTGCTGGGCGAGGTGGTACATGCCTGTAATCCCAGAGATTCCGGACGCTGAGTCAGGAGGATGGCAAATTTGAAATCCCCCTCAGCAATTTAGCAAGGCCCTAAACAACTGAGACCCTGTCTAAAAATAAATAAAAAAATAAAAGGGCTGGAGTTGTAGCTCATTGGTTAAACACCCCTGGTTCAGTTCCCAGTACCAAAAACTAGGTATAAATCAGGCGCGGTGGCACAAACCTGTAATCCCAGCAGCTAGGAAGTCTGAGAAAGGAGGATTGTAAGTTTGAGGCCAGCCTCAATTTAGCAAGGCCCTATTAGAGCAGATTATTGCTAAGTGAAGCTATACAATCCCTAAAAAACAAATGCCAAATGTCTTCTTTGATATAAGGAGAGTAACTAAGAACAGAGTAGGGATGAAGAGCAGGAGAAGAAGATTAACATTAAACAGGGATGAGAGGTGGGAGGGAAAGGGAGAGAGAAGGGAAATTGCATGGAAATGGAAGGAGACCCTCAGAGTTATACAAAAGTACATACAAGAGGAAGTGAGGGGAAAGGGAAAAATAATACAAGGGGGGAGAAATGAATGACAGTAGAGGGGGTAGAGAGAGAAGAGGGGAGGGGAGGGGAGGGGGGATAGTAGTGGATAGGAAAGGCAGCAGAACACAACAGATACTAGTATGGCAATATGTAAATCAATGGATGTGTAACTGATGTGATTCTGCAATCTGTATATGGGGTAAAAATGGGAGTTCATAACCCACTTGAATCAAAGTGTGAAATATGATATGTCAAGAACTATGTAATGTTTTGAACAACCAACAATAAAAAATTTAAAAAAAAAATTTAGCAAGGCCCTAAGCAACTTAACCAGACCCTGTCTCTCAAAAAATAGAATGGGCTGGGGATGTGGCTCAGTGGTCAAGACCCCTGGGTTCAATCCCTGGTACAAAAAAAAAAAAAAAAATATATATATATATATATATATACATATACATATATATATATATATACACACATACATACATATACACACATATACATATATATATATGTATATATGTAATAAAGGATAATTTGAAACCAATCATGTTTTCCCAAATTAAGAACTTCTGGGCTCAGTATGTACCTCCATGGTACTGCAGATGCTTAGATGCATGAAGCCCTGGGTTCAATCCCCAGAACCAAAAACAACAACAAAAAAACCTTCTACCTAGACCCTCAGCCCTCAAATGAGTGAAGTTAAAAGGCATACCAAATCTGTATAAATTATGCATTTATTATTGATTTCAATTTCTCTTTAGCTTATGTTTCCCATGAAATTAGACTACCAAAAAATAATGACTAATTATGTGGGATAAGTCTCTGCTCTCAGGCTCTGTGTAATAAATAGTAAAGTAAATGGTATAGGAAAACAAACAAAACCCAAGATGCTGTTTCTATGTGCAGTCCTGAGCCACAATATTCATCAGAACCACAGATTTGAGAGTTACAGTGGCTGAGCATATTTGTGGTAAAAAGCCAACATAATTTTTTAAGGATAACTGAACTATGAGAGCAAATGCTATTATTCCTGTAAAAGGAACAAGAATAAAGAATCCTGTTTTCAAAATTTAGCCAAAGGGAAAATAGGGAGAATGATAATTCCAAAGTGATGTTACTAGGGGGATAATAACTAAAAATGCACAGAATTAGTTCTACCTGAAAATATTTTTGCACTTATGAAATAATGGAGCTCTTGAGACTTAAAGAAACTGGAATTTTTAAGGCCATTTTTATTTCCCCAGTCCCTTCTTTGTTACCTCCCAGCTATTCTTATCTTTTTTCTCATCATTTACCCAAGCGTTTTTCACGATGCATATACAAATCAGAACTAAGCCAACCAAAGGCATCTGGAAGTCAGAGTATGGTTCCAGATGTTAATAAAAACCATCCATCCATATTAGAGTGGTACATACACATCCAAATAGAGTTAGTTCCTCAAAAATGTTGCACATAGGGCTGGGACTGTAGCTCAGTGGTAGAGCACTTGCCTTGCATGGGGGAGGCACTGGGTTTGCTCCTCAGCACCACAGAAAAATAGATACTGTGTCCATCTAAAACTAAAAAAAAAAAAATTAAAAAAGTTGCACATAGAATAACCATATAACCTGGAAATTACATTCCTAGTCAATACTCAAGAGACACAAAAACATACATCCACACAAAAATCCTGTATACAAATATGCATAGCAGCATTATTATTATCATTATTTTTTGAGTACTAGGGATTGAACTCAGGGATATTCAACCACTAAAACCTATTTTGTATTTTATTTAGAGACAGGGTTGGCACCTTGCCATTGCTGAGGCTGGCTTTGAACTCTCCATCCACCAGCCTCAGCCTCCCAAACTGCTGGGATTACACGCATGTGCCACCAAGTCCAGCAGCAGCATTATTCTTAATGGTCAAAAAGTGGAAACAGGGGGCTGGGGTTGTAGCTCAGTGGCAGAGAGCTTGCCTAGCATGCATGAGGCTCTGGGTTCGATCCTTAACACCACATAAAATAAAATAAAGGCATTCTGTCCATCTACAACTAAAAAAAAAAAAAAAAGTGGAAACAACCCAAAGTGTCCATTAACTGATGAACATGTTATAGTCACATAATGAAATATTATTTGGCCATGAAAATGAATCATATACTGATAAATAAATGCTATAAAGTGAACAAGGTTAGAAAATATTATGCTAAATAAGTTAGTCATAAAAGACCACATACAATATGATTATACTTACAGGAAATTTCCAGACTTGGGAAATTCACAGACATGAAGTAAATCTGTGGCCGTTTAGGGCTGGGAAGATAGGGAGAAATGGAAGTGACTGTTAAAGGGCACAGAACTTTTGGGGGAGTGGTGAAAATGTTTCTGGTGATGGTTACACAAATCTGAATACACTGAAAACAATTGAATTCACTTTAAATCAGTGAACTGTATGTGAATTATATCTCAAGTAAGCTGTTGCCAAAACAAATTATTACTTCTTCCTTTCCTCCTCTCTTCTTCTCTTCACTTGTAACCTCAGCAACTTGGGAGGCTGAGGCAGGAGGATCACCTATTAGAGGCCTGCCTTAGCAAGTTCAGGGCCAGCTTCAGCAATTTAGGGAGACTCTGTCTCAAAATTTAAAAAAAATATAAAAGGCTGAGGACATGGCCAGTAATAAAGCACCCTTGAGTTTAAATCTTAATTACTGCCAAAAAGCGGGGAGAAAGACTATGAAAGTAGTAAAAGCCAGAGATCTAAGGCCAGAAAATTTTCTAGACCATGATTCACTGCACTGTCTCAGCATTTGTGAAAATGCTATGCTACTCCAATAAGAGCCATTATGTTATACTGGGGGGGGGGGTATTTATATACTAGTATAAAATAAATAATACACAATGTATGCATTTTTCTAGTAAGAGTAAAGGTATATGTGTTTTCTCAGAAGTTACTTTAATATAAATAATAAAATTTAAGTTAAACTACATGGAAATAAGAGTTCATGTTTTGCATTTCCAAAAAAATCCTATGACACCACAGAAGTCTAGAAAACTATGTGCCATTGCTAAATTTAGTTTGAAAGCTGGGCAAGATGGCTTCACCTTTAGTTCCAGCTACTTAGGAGACTGAGGCAGGAAGATCTCTTGAGTCCAGGCATTTGGGGCCAACATGAGCAACATAGCAAGATTCTGCCTCACATAAAAAGTAAATAAATATAAATTATTTATGTGTTACATAAATATATTTGGTGTGAAAAAGTTGCATCTTCTATGTATTTAAATAAAGGAAATTTAGAAAAAGGCAAGACAATTACTGTTTCTTCAAATTAGAACATATATCTTGTTTTTTTTAATTGGTACATTATAATTATACATATTGATGTGATTTGTTGTTACATATTCATACATGCACATAATATAACAATATAATTTGACCAATATTACTTCCCAGCATTTCCCTCCTCCCTCCCTGCCTCCAACCACTTTTTAATTTCTGTTTCTATTTATTTATTTTTATTTTTGGTATTGGGGATTATATCCACAAGTATATAACCATTGAGCCACATCCCAGTCCTTTTTTATATTTTATTTAGCAATAGGGTCTCACTGAGCTATTTAGGGACTCCCTATATTGCTGAAGCTGGCTTTGAACTCAATCCTCCTGACTCAGCCTCTGGAGCCACTGGGATTACAAGCGTGTGCCATCATACCTGGCTTTGTTTTTTATTTTGAGACGCTAAGTTGCTGAGGCTGGGCCCAAACTTGCTAAGACTGGCCTCCTTCTTGTGGTTCTTTTGCCACAGCCTCCCACGTTGCTGGGGTTACAGGTGTGAGCCACTACTCTTGGCTGGAAATATTTCTTAATTTCTTTATATTGGAAAATATAAAGAAATTAAGAAATATTTGTCTTCTTTTTAAAATAAGGTTATCAATTTGTTTATCTCCTACCTTGTATCGTGTGCTATGCTGAATGCTGGAAATACTAGAATTAGTAAGGAAAATCCCTGCTCACAGTTTGGTTCAGGACATGGAAAAGTACAGAATAATG